GCCATGCACACTGAAGCTGGGACTAAACATAATAACAGGATTTAATTGCTAATGCTCTAGAAGCAATGTGTCTCTTGATGTGTTGACCTTTAGCCCAAACTTGGGAGGGTAAAAAAAAGGGAGGGAAGGATTTCCTTTCCCCTTCTGCCTGCTGTCCCCGACTCCCTGTATCTGATCATGTCTGCCTCTAACCCAGTCTACATGCCCTTAACATTCAACTCTCCACTTCCATTTCCATTAGTTACTTCCAACTTTGGAGCCAGGATGAGAATGAATAGAAGAACAGAAAGGAAGATGGGAGGAGAATAGGAGAAGAAAGTCTGTAAGCAGTTGACAGCTGCTTAGAATCAGGGGACCGAATTATAGCTGCTGAAATGAGAGCTAGACACCTAGTGCCCCGGTGCTTCTCCCCTACTCCATAGTATTTTGTGGTATTTAGGCCTTTTCATGTGTTTCTGTTCATTGTTTCATTCCACCCTTTCTGGGTCCGTACTTATAATCATTTTTTTTCTCTACACCGTCAGCTCCCATTTTCCTCTTACTTGGTTACTTATGAATGGCAAAATTTCAAGCAAGTTAAATTCAAGGCTCTGCCTATTCCACACCTGAACCATGGCAACTAGACAGCTAAATGTGGCTGGAGAAAAAACATGCAGATTGGTCTTGCTGTAAATATATGACTACTAGCCTAAGTCAGCCCTTGGTGCTGCTCAGCAAGGTTACTAGTCCATTCAGTCTCCCGCTCTTTTACAAAACTTCCACAACTTCTTTCTCTTCAAATCTTTTACCATGCTCCAGCCAGACTGACCTGCTTTCTGTTTCCAACATGCCAAGCCCATTCCCACCTGAGGGCCTTTTCATTTACTCTTCCTCCTGCCTGGGGCACCCTACATTTAGATATTTGTTCACTTCTTTCAACACCCTGCTGCATATTGTCATCACATGTTAGGCCTTCCCAGAACCCCCTATATAAGGCAGCACATCCCTGTCACCACTGACAAATTCAGTTCCTCTAACTTTGGGGTTTTGTTTATTTGGTTGGTTGGTTGGGTTTTTTTTTTTTTTTTTTTTTTTTTTGACAGAGTTTTGCTCTGTTGCCCAGGCTAGAGTGCAGTGGCATGATCTTGGTGCACTGCAACCTCCGCTTCCCAGGTTCAAGTGATTCTCCTGCCTTAGCCTCGTGAGTAACTGGGACTACAAGCACATGCCACCACGCCTGGCTAATTTTTGTACTTTTAGTAGAGACAGGGTTTTGCCATGTTGGCTAGGCTGGTCTCAAACTCCTGACCTGAGGTGATCCATCTGCCTCAGCCTCCCCAAATTCTGGGATTACAGGCATGAGCCATTGCACCCAGCCTCCTCTAACTTTGTTTTCTTTAGCAGTTGCCACCATCTGGTGTTCTCCAAATTTTGTGTGTATGTACTGTATTTTCTATCCCCCTGCTAGAATTAAAATTTTTCAAGAGCATGGATTTTGTGGGTTTTTTTCATTCTTCTATACCTAAAGCTTAATGTAATGCTTTCTAGTACTCCATACATATTTATTTAATGAATAAATGGATGTTTGCTGCCTTTTGAATATCTTCTCTTCCCAATTACCAAACCTAGAATATCCCTTCCCTATCCATCCTCCCATATGTTTTTGTATTGTGCCCCTCGTGTCCAAGTCCAGATTTAGTGCACACCATCTAATTGTTGGAGAAAGTTTCTTTTATTTGGCCTGTCTAGGGAAATCCAATGTGCTTAAGTATTTTGTACTTAGAAGTATAGTGTCACAGAATGGAGCCCTCAAAAAGAGTTTTATGATCATTTCCCGATGTGTTTAATGGACCCTAATAGAGGAATTGGCTTATCCAAGATCACCAAACTAAGTGTAGTTTAAAATAAATGTGAGTTGAAGTTGTTTTGCTTTTCAAAACTCTTGCTTGGGATTATTGGAGATACCCAGAAATGGTTAGAAACTCATGTAGTCAATACGTGGCTCTGCCTTTCCACTTACTGCATTCATGGGTTGGCACACCACCTCATGGGTACTTCATTTCTATTCCATGAGATTTGCTTAGGTAACTTAGCAGGATTTCTCAGTGTATCTTTGTTCTCTTCACATGTTTTCATGAAGCTGTGAAAAAAAAAAAAATTAAAACACACACCACCTGTACCACACTGCCATATATCTTGACCTTCACCTATTCAGTAAGATAAACACATACTCGATTTTATATAATTGATGACAGTTTGTACTCGTGTCAGCAGAGGAGAACTGACATAGAAATGTTAGTTTCTCATAGTCATTGAGCCTAACGAGCCTTCTAGAGTTTATTAATTTGCCTCCAAGCCATAGCTCCCTCTAAACTTTTCAGAACAAATGGTTCTCTTCTTAAAGCATCATCCATTTCACCAAAATACTTGAAAGAAAATAATTTTTGTCTTATCTTCTAATTTTTATTACTCTTTTGTAATGTACACTTTGGGATTGAGAAATGCAAATTCAGATTTGAAAGGTGTATACGGATTTGTCTTCAAGTTCTTCTACCTCTTGAAATAATGAAAGCCTGAGTGGTGGGAGATATAAATGGAGGATACAGAGGGTAAATACTCCAAAAGCAACACAAACCTTCATTAAATTACAGGAGTCCCCTCTTTTATTGTGACGTTTACACAGTGATGTTTAGAGTCTAAATTATTTAGGTACAGTGAATCCTCACATCCATTGTTTCCCTGAGAGCACCGGCTGCAATACCCAACATTGAGCAGATACTCAGCAAATCATAATATGCAGGCAGCATAGACTAGATGCTCAGCAACTGTCTCAGTGACCATGAAGACCAATGTAGGGTGAATTAGTAAATTAATGATGGAGCAGACATTTCTATTAGGGATTTTTTTAAACTGCACAACAAGATGCTTGGCACCATAGGTCATGCCTCCAAGTCTGTCAGAAGTGGTACAGTTTTGTGAATGTCTGGCTATCCTTTGAGTCTGAAGTGTTGCATTAATAGTTGATCAGTCAAACTGAATGGATGGAGTTTGTAGGTAAAATGAGAGAAACGCATGTTGGCTTTCATAACTTTTGAACACAGCTGTCATCTATATGTTTTGAATCTGGTGTGGGGGTGAGAAGGAAGGAGGAATGCTGAAGTTTATTTTAGGTTGTATGGAATAGTCACATAGTGCTCTTCAGTGGAGTCTTGGAAAAACAATACATTTTAGTTTAAAATACTCTCAAAGCAAGCAGTCAAGACAAAATGAAGAACAGGATTTAAGCTTGAGATGTCCTAGGGAAGTAGGCAGTGGTTAGACCACTCAGCTTGTACATCAGCGAGATGGTTCTTAATCTTCACTTTCCATGCTCAGTGGGCTCAAATAAGCCTCCTTTCATCTGGAATGAAATGTAGTCAGGATGGACTGTGAGGAAGGAATGTCTCTTAACTGTATTTCTGAGGGAAGAGAGAAGAAATGTCAAGAGGGTCTTAGATTATTTCATCTACCAATAGAAAGAAGATGGTAATTTTTGATAAATACAGATGAGCTGGGTGCAAAATTTTAAAATAGACTGCAAGTGGTTCTATGGTTGCAGGTTCTCTCAAGTTGTTGAAATAAAAAGGAACAATTAAGACTACCTTTTTTGTGGAGAGGAAATAGTTTAAATCCTTACTTAGTATCTACAATAGGACAGTGAAATAGAAATAATCCAGAGAACTTAAATTTTTGCTGTGCTTGAATGTTTTTATGGCCCCATTTCTACCATGAAAAATATAATCATTCCTTTACTTGGATGCATATGCACTTTCGTATATGGATGGATGCCATCCCTACTTCGCTGAACATAGGTTGATAGATGAAATACTTTATAAAACAAAAATCTCATTAATTTATGTTTCACCAATTTTAAGATTTTGATAATTTGAACAGGGACTGAGCAGAAGTTTCCTGCAGTATTATTCATAAAGACGGGGTTTGCTTAAGCAAGTTAATAGCATAGAGAAGATTCAGGAAGAATATTTAACTATTGAGGAGGACAGCTTCCAACTAATTCTTGGATGTATACTTTCCGATGCAAACATTTGTAGTAACTATCTGCTAACTTATTCAGTAATTCACATTGGCTCCAGAGTTTTTCAGAGGTTCTGATTTTCAGTGATTAAGTACATCTAATTTTTCCTCACTTGTTTTGAATATAGGGAGCTAGCTCTGATTAAGTGGGCCTTATGGCCAGAGTTGGCTGCAGGAGCCTCACTAGCCTATATCTAATGGGTAAGAAGTTGTTATTCTTAAACTTTTGTCAATGGGCAGGTAGAATGTAATGATGTTCCCCAGTGCCAAGTGAAATATAGGAGCATAGCTAGATTTGGAAGGAGGTAGACTGATTTACTTTGGCCCATATATGGGATCCTCTAGATATCAAGGAACAATTCATCTGTTACTGAGTTGAAGGCCACATAGTACCTTCAGTTTCTCATTCACTTATTGTAGTTGCCCTGTGGGGTCATTCTGTGACAGGAAGATTAGCATATTGTATGCATACACTTGAGACTCTATTGAGTATACTTTTTCAGTCATGTACTGAAAATCTTCCAAGTGTTTCATGATTTCAGTTGAAGTTGGGAAATTAATCAGAGTGGAGCCCAATATTTTGGTGGAAACTACATGTAGTGTATGAGTGTAGAGTTTGAGTTTTGTTGAAGCCAAGCATTTCTGTAATAGTTTAAAGAATGTTTCTTGATTTTTCCCATAGCGTTCTTGTCTTGGGAATCAAGACTCTGCCTTCATGCAGCCATGGAAGGCTCTCAAAAGGCATTGGTCTCATTACTGAAGGGCTGGATACCTAGAACCTGAACTAGACTCTAGTATAAAGCCAATACTAGAAATAGGATCATTCTGTGTAGAGAACTAATGAACTGTTTCTTTGGTGTTGTCTCCACAGCTGAACTTGCAAACCAGATTGGAACTTCAAGATTATCAATAATTGGAGATACATATATTTTATTTGTAAAGAAAACATGGCTGCCCTATTCCTACATGGTTTTGTCCAAATAGGGAACTGCAAGAGTGGGATGTCTAAGTCAAAAGAATCATTCATTGAAGCAGTGGAAGGAAGGAAGAAAGATAGACTGGTGCTCTATTTCAAAAATGGAAAATGTAACACTTTTCAGCTAAGTGATAATATTCAAAACGTAGTCCTAAGATCCTTTAGAGGAAACCAAAATCACCGCATTTAACTTTACAAAATAATAATGTCTTGTTTGTTGAAGGATTATCCTCCACAGATGCTGAACAATTGAAGACATTCCTGGACAGAGTTCATCAAAACAAGGTTCAGTCACCTGTGAGACCTGGTAAGGGTAGGAATGTCTTTTCTAGCACAACAACACAGAAGGAAATCAACAAAACTTCATTCCACAGAGTTGATGAGAAATCAAGTAGGAAATCTTTTGAGATAGCAAAAGGAAGTGGGACAGGTGTCCTTCAGAGGATGCCTTTGCTTACATCAAAATCGTCAACACTTACTTGCGGAGAGTTACCTGAAAATCAGCACAAGAAGAGGAAAAGAATGCTCTCATCTAGCTCAGAGATGAATGAGGAATTCTTGAAAGAAAATAATTCTGTAGAATACAAGAAATCCAAGGCAGATCGCTTGAGGTGTGTAAGCTATAATCGAAAGAAACAATTGAAGTTAAAAGAGTTAGAAGAGAATAAGAAATTGGAATGTGAATCTTCGTGCATCATGAAGGCTACTGGAAGTCCTTACCTAGATGACATTGGATTTCTCCAAGCTCTCACTGAGAAAATGGTTTTGGCATTTCTATTACAACCAGGGTATAGTGACGGTTACACAAAGTGGGATAAGTTAAAACTATTTTTTGAATTATTTCCAGAGAAAATATGCCACGGCCTCCCCAATTTGGGAAACACCTGTTATATGAATGCAGTTTTACAGTCTCTACTTTCGATTCCATCGTTTGCTGATGATTTACTTAATCAGAGTTTCCCATGGGGTAAAATTCCCCTTAATGCTCTTACCATGTGCTTGGCACGGCTACTTTTTTTTAAAGATACTTATAATATAGAAATCAAGGAGATGTTACTCTTGAATATTAAAAAGGCCATTTCAGCAGTTGCAGAGATATTCCATGGCAATGCACAGAACGATGCTCATGAGTTTTTAGCTCACTGTTTAGATCAGCTGAAAGATAACATGGAAAAACTCAACACAATTTGGAAGCCTAAAAGTGAATTTGTGGAAGATAATTTTCCTAAACGGGTTTTTGCTGATGATCCTGATACCAATGGGTTTTCTTGCCCTGTCATTACTAATTTTGAGTTAGAGTTGTTGCACTCCATTGCTTGTAAAGCTTGTGGTCAGGTTATTCTCAAGACAGAACTGAATAATTACCTCTCCATCAACCTTCCCCAAGGAATGAAAGCACGCCCTTCATCTATTCAGTCTACTTTTGATCTTTTTTTTGGAGCAGAAGAGCTTGAGTATAAATGTGCAAAATGTAAGCACAAGACTTCTGTTGGAGTGCACTCATTCAGTAGGCTACCTAGAATCCTTATTGTTCACCTCAAACGCTATAGCTTGAATGAGTTTTGTTCATTAAAGAAGAATGGCCGGGAGGTCGTCATTTCCAAATATTTAAAGGTGTCTTCTCATTGCAATGAAGGCACCAGACCACCTCTTCCCTTGAGTGAGGATGGAGAAATTACGGATTTCCAATTATTAAAAGTTATTCGAAAGATGACTTCTGGAAGCATCAGTGTATCATGGCCTTCAACAAAGGAACCCAAAGATATCCTAGCTTCACACATTGGATCAGATACGGAGTCTGAACACAAAAAAGGCCAGACAGTCCTTAAAGGGGCAAGCAGAAGACAGCAGCAAAAATACCTTGGAAAAAATTTTAAACCAAATGAGCCAGAATCTGTGTACTCAGGAGATCGAGCATTCATTGAAAAAGAACTGTTAGCTCACTTAATGGCATATCTGGAAGATACCTCACTTTGTCAGTTCCACAAAGCTGGAGGTAAACCTGCCAGCAGCCCAGACACATGTCTTGCAGAAGTTCACTTTCAAACAGTCCCTGAAAATCCAAAACGAAAGAAATATGTGAAAACCAGTAAGTTTGTAGCTTTTGATAGCATTATCAATCGTACTAAAGATTTGTATGAAGATAAAAATGTCAGAATTCCAGAAAAATTCCAAAAAGTGTCTGAACAGACTCAGCAGTGTGATGCTATGAGAATCTGTGAACAAGCCCCTCAGCAGGCACTACCTCGAAGCTTTCCAAAGCCAGGTTTCCAGGGGCACACAAAGAACCTCATAAAACCTACAAAATTAAATCTCCAGAAGCCTAACAGGAATTCCCTACCTGCACTGGGTTCCAATAAGAACCCAAGAAACAAAGACATTTTAGATAAGATAAAATCTAAAGCCAAGGAAACAAAAAGAAATGACGATAAGGGAGATCATACCTACCGGCTCATTAGTGTTGTCAGCCATCTTGGGAAGACTCTAAAGTCAGGCCATTATATCTGCGATGCCTATGACTTTGAGAAGCAGATCTGGTTCACTTACAATGATATGCAGGTGTTAGGTATCCAGGAGGCCCAGATGCAGGAGGATAGGCGTTGCACTGGGTACATCTTCTTTTACATGCATAATGAGATCTTTGAAGAGATGTTGAAAAGAGAAGAGAATGCCCAGCTTAAGAGCAAGGAAGTAGAGGAGACCCTTCAGAAGGAGTAAGAGGAACGTACTCCTCCTTGAACAGATCTGCTTGACTGTCTCACTCGATACCACTTCCTCCATGGAAGGAAAACTCTAATCTTTATCCAGAGATGAAAACGCAATTACTCTAGGACCAAAGGTCAAACAGAAACACTTAATGGGGAAATCACCATTCTAACCCTGACACAGACACCTCAATCCCATAGCTCTGGTTGATGAACATCCTTCTCTCCTGCAAGACTGAAATTGTGTTTTTCATGTTCTTCTTCATTTTAATATAGTTAGGGTCTCGCTCTGTCATCCTGGCTAGAGTGCAGTCCTTCAATAATAACTCACTGCAGCCTCAAACTCTTGGCATCAAGCGATTCTCTCTTAGCCTCCTGAAAAGAGAGGGAGTATTCTCGCTTGAGCTGGGACTATAGGTGTGTGCCATCAGGCCTAGCTAATTTTTTTTTTTTTGTAGTGACAGGGTCTCACTATGCTGCCCAGGCTGGACTTGAACTCCTGACCTCAAGCAATCTTCCTGCCTCTTTTCATGTTCTAATGCAGTGGTTTAAAACTATGCTCCTTAAACTAGCAGCACCAGGAGCATGGGGGTACTCATTGGAAATGCAAGATCTTGGGTTCCACTGTAGACCCACTGATTCAGAAACTTGGGGTGAGGGATAGCAATCTGATGGAGACTGTGATGCTTGATACAGTTTGAGAAGCACTACTGTACTACGTACACTGCCTTGGCTGTATATTTAAATTGCTTATTTTGTAAAAGGTTTTGATTATATTTTTGTGTTTTTCATATTAATGTATGCCTTGCCTTTGTGAACTTACTAAAAGCCAAACTCACAAAAATCACTTCTGATCATACTCTGCAATTTGGTGGAAAAAACAGTTGCTGGGATCCTGGCAATAAAAAATGAGGCCGATAACTTTTGAATCCTCTTGGGCATATATAGATGAGGCTAACTGCCAAGTCAAATCTCCAGATTGATTTGCTTTTAAGAAATTGGCCTACATTTCCTGTGTGTCTGCTAGGAAGTTCTTGGCCTTTGGTGGTCTGAGCCCACCTTGCCATGTTAGTTTTCTTAGAAGGGCACTTTTGTTGCCTCAGAGGAACTTTGTTTACCTGGACTTCATCAAGATTGAAACCTTGAACAATCTTCTTCATTCAACATTACATGACTAATTCCAGATTTTTTTTTCATCTCTGTACCTTATAGTGTGGTGGTCTTGTTCCTTCAATGAGTAAGCAATATATGCTTTAAAGTGGGCTTGTAGGATTTGAAAGTCTTACTTGTTACTGATTTGACACAACATCAGAAACTCCATATGAAGATGTTCTGCTTCTGGGGAAAGATGCATGGATCCTAGTGTGGTCATATTTCATTAAAATCCAGGGGATTTAATAATTTTGCCATCAAGCGTGTGCCACCGCTGTATCATAACCTTTTCCTGCCTTTGAGGCAGTGAATCTGTTGTACTTTGTGCCTTTGCTATGAACAAATGACTTGTACTAGGAGGTTTTCTCACATAACATAGGATTGCATTTTCAGTCACACCTTTACCAATAGAAATGTGCCCCCTTGTATATGGGGTATGGCTTTAGTATAGCTGTATTAATCCAAGAGCTTTTTGATGCTCTTAAGCCTAGGGTCCTTTAAAATAGGTGAGTTGGATTTTAGTGGTGTGGGGAAGTTATTAATAGGTAATACCCTGTAAGAGGAAAACCAGATTCCAAAGCTTGGAGATTCTATTCAGAACACAGTATATCTAGAAGGAAGTCTTATGGGACCTGAAGATTGCTAAGGTATATAGGAGGGAATATCATAGATTGAATTAATCACTCTTATGGAAGAAGGTGTTACAGACACAATGAGTGATTGTTCATCTTCTGTAGTACTTCAGGAGCTGAAGGATAAGGCTGGAGTTGCATTTAGAGGAGAGTGACAATTTGGGTTCTAAATTTCGTGGTTTTTTTGGCATCTAGAGTAGTTTATGTTGAGCCCAGTTACATAGATAACAGAACAGGATTTTGGTAAGAATGAAGGAAAGTTGTTTTGTTTTGACAGGAGTGTGTAGATGCTAAAAGCTTGATATTTTAGTACGGAGTTTACATCCTGGACACGCTGCTCTTCAGCATGTAGCATTTCCAAATGCAGGGCGAAATGAAATATGAAGAAGATGGTAGGGGTATCCATGACAGGGAGGATCGTGGCTGCAATCTGTTGCTGGCCTATGAGAAGAAATTCTGAATGCACTATGAATGCTTGTATAGTGCATGTATAGTATAATGATTGTATAGTATTTACATGGTATGTTTTCAAATAAAAGATTAAAAGTTCTTCAGTGACTCAGTGGCTATTATGTATATAAATTTATTCTCTTAATTTATGGGTCAAATTTTCAAGTAATCCATGGAAATAAAAGTTTGACTTTCAGTGTGTTCATTTCCTATTGCTTCTGTAACATATTACTACAAACTTAATAGCTTATAAAAACATAGTTTTTTTAATCTTACAGTCCTGGAGATGAAGAGTCCAAGATGATTATCACTTGGCTAAAATGAGGGTGTCAGCAGGGCTGCAATCTTAGTTGCTCTGAAGGCACAACCTGTTTCTTTGCCTTTTCCAGCTTTCTGGAAGCTGCCTGCATTCTTGGACTCATGGCTTCATTCCTCCGTCTTCAAAGTCGGCAATGTTGGATTGAGTTCTCACGCTGCCAAATCTGGTTCTCCCTTTTCTGTCTTTCTTTTCCACTTTTAAGAACCATTGTAATTAGATTTGGCTCACTGAGATAATCCAGGATAATATCCCTATATTTAATCAGCAATATTTTAAAGATTTTATTTATTGAGACAGGGTCTTGCTCTGTTGCCCAGGCTGGAGTGCAGTAGTGCAATCATAGTTCAGTGTAACCTCTAATTCCTGGGCTCGAATTATCCTCCCATCTTAGCCTCCCAAATAGCTAGGACTATAGGTGCTCACCATCACACCTGTTTAATTTGTGTGTGTGTGTTTGTGTGTAGAGATGGGGTCTTGTTGCCCACACTGGTCTCAAACTCCTGGCTTCAAGCAGTCCTCCCACCTTGGCCTCCCAAAGCACAGGGATTACATACATGAGCCACCGTGCCCAGCCTAAATCAGCAATCTTAATTCCTATATGTCTTGTAACACAACATATTAAATTTTCAAGGATTAGGATGTGGACATCTTTGCAATGCCATTATTCTCCATACTGCACATGCTCAATAGTAAATGTTAATAGAAATCTACCTCAACAACAAAAAATTTAGGGTGGTTCAGGGACCCCTGAACTGAGACCCCTGGGAAATGGAAGTTTGGATAGCTTTACTAGGTAAAGAACTGAAGTAAATAAAACTTTTAAGATTTTAGCTGAGGGTGAGAGAAAATTATAATTAGTAATTGAAGAGCTCAGACCTTGAGACAAATTACAGAAACAAAGACTATTGTTCCTTTGCATATTCCTCTATGCTTATCATATGAATGCTTTTATTTGAATATGTGTATTATTCTTTTATTTTCTATCCTGGTTCTTATTTTTAATTTTATGTGCAACTTCATGGGAGATTAACTTTACTTGTCTTTAGGTAAGATAATATTCAATGGGAACCTGACTGAATTTGAGGAGTACTTAATAGATCCCATGATAATTGCAATCACTTGAGAATCCTGGTCATCTAACTTTAGGTAAGAGTGAGCACTTCACTTGACAAGAAGGATTGATGTATCATGTTAGGTAGAAAACGTTTTGCTGCTGCAAGGGAATTCGGATGTGTGTCAAGTGGTTCACATGAAGGCAACCAGGAGGGTAGACTGTGCCTGTTATCAATGTATTGCACCTCACCTTCAAATTCACCTTCAATACATGCTCAGTGATAATGGACAGAATTGCTTTAGGCATTTCTCCTTTCCAGTAAACATATGTTGTGCTTTCTCAGTAGTGAGCACTATAGCTGCATTGCAAGTGGAAGGGATTTCTGCTGTTTCCAGTTTGTAACAGTGTGGCTGTGAGAGTATCTGGTGGTGCACCATGCCAGCCACAGACCCAGAATGTGTGGTTTCTGATGCCCTCACAGCTCCAGCCTGGTCTGGTGATCACTTTGCTATTGCCATCTTTACATGGACACCATGCACCTGTACCAGTGTCCTGACTCTCTGTTCCTGAGTCCTTCCCGGTTTGGTATTCCACAGTTCTTACAACATCCAGCTCTCCTGACAGGATATGGTACACCCCAGGCCTCCTGCCACACTGGCACTCCCAGTTCCTCTGCATGACCACATACTTGGCCATTGGCTATAGCCCTGCCTATGTGCTAGAGGGTTACCACTGAGGATCCCACTCCCTGTGCATGCCCTTGCATCGAGTGCTGTCTGGGGCTTGCTTGCATCCTAACTCTGCCTCATCTGTCCTCTGGAGGGTTGCTTCCTGTTTGCTCAGTGAGTGCAGAAGAGGTCTGCCTCAAACTGGCTGACGTTTCTGCAATCCATTGGACTGCAATTACAATAGACTTTCAGCAAGGTCTGAACCTTAGCCCTGTAGATTGGGTGACCTTTCCAAATTTGTCCTTCCTTGGGTACTCTCTCTCAGCCTTTGGATATGTTGGGACTTAGAAAACAATACCCCCAAATGAAGGCCTCAGAAGCAAAAGTTTTTCTTTGACATCCTGCCCTCCTGTCTCAGTCCCATTCTCCCCAGAGGCCAGCCATAGAAGCTAGAATCTTACTTCCCCAAGGTGGGTCATAGAAACCAGAACCCTTCTTCCCCAAAGCCAGCATAAATGCTAAAAATATTACTCTAATTTTCCCTCTTATTTTCTATATAAAAACTGGCAATAAAGAAATTATCTGACCTACCTTGTTTGACTGTAGGTCACGGGACTCCCATTCCAGAGAGGGACCTACCCCATGCTCAGAGAGGTGAAGAACAATCTAGATAGTGAAACTTTGCTGAATTTTCCCACTCAGTCTATTAGCATTAGATCATATTTTTTTGTCCAACGATATTTCTACACAGCTCACCATACATTGTTGAACCTAAGCATAAAAATGAGCAATGTCTCCTGTATGGTTGGGCCTTTCATTCTGAAGGCTCTCATCTACATATACATTAAATAAATGTGTATGACTTTTCT